ATGCCATCCTCCAAGCATTAAACATAATTCTGGTCGAGTCTCATATAATTTTGCAAGGCGTCGAAAGATAGCCTCATCGTATGCTATATGAAGATACCCATTGCAATCGACCCCAACATCATCATAGTACATTTTTGCAACATTATGAATATTTTCATCATTGCATAGATTTTTGCCAGGTTCTAAAATAAACTACATTTGGTGGGTCTATTAGGCACCCCATTTGAATATCCTTCTTAATTTCTTGTCGCAGTTTACAAATATCAAAACTTTTATTAGAAACTAAAAGAGAATTAAAAATGTTTTCAAACTTTCTAATTTCATTTGTCGTAAAATTCGACATCCCAACCCAAAATTCATACTCAGAAGTTAAACTACATTCTTTAGCGATGCTAGATAAAGATTGTGGTAATGTAAATTGGAAAACCATACGAAGTGTAGCATGTGCAGTACACCTTTTAGCATCAAAAATATTATCATATGCAAATGTACTCTCCCTCATGTCAATATTGTCTATTACGCATAGATTCCAGATATTATTACCATGTAAAAGTTTTTTTGATATATCAATATTACTGATTCTTAATTTTTCCAATTTCCTTTCATAACGATTTGTATGTGAAACTACGTTTGCGGTACACAGAATTGCATAAAGTGAACTTAGTAGTTTGGGCTTTCTGCAAAGGGAACTCATTACATGGGAGAACCAGAAATTAATGCCCGGAAATGACATTGAAAAATTAATGATAATATAAAGACTGATATCTTTATTGCCCTTTCTATATTAAACTCAACTGGAATAAGTCCACGTTGTATACGTTTTTTTTGAACCACTTCCCATTTCTTTTGCATAATAAAAATAATAAAATTGTCAAACAATTCCTTTATAGATTTAGGAAATCCATTATGAAATTCCTGTAAAGTGTTTGGGGTTTCAAGTATTTTTCGCTGTGTACGTATCTCAGATCTTGATCGCCAAACAACGGTTCCTAAAGCTTCACCTAATTCTTGTGATTGGTTTAATATAATGTCAATAAACTTGTTTTTTTCTTCTAATCTACGTAAATTAACTTTTTTGATACGAAGTGCAGCTCTAATACTGAAATATGTTGGTGGATGGGTTTGTATAGTTTGTTCAGTATCTACACTATTATTATTATCTTTCGAATTTTTAGATGTACTTGTTTTTTTGTCTAAAAATTTAACAACACCAGACCAAACTTCCTCTAAAAGCATAGCTTGGAGTTCTTGATCCTGATCTGTTGACATTTCTTGGATCCATCGTCCTAAAAGGTAAAGAGAACGTTGATTGTCATTTGCATGCTTTTCAATACAAGAAAATTGTGGTGTGTTTTTTTTTCTGCGTTGAAAAAAGTGTCCACCTTCATTATTAAAACAACGCGAGCAAACAAATTTTGAGCGGGTTTGGCTTGTAGATGATTTAACAAATTGACTATCCTTCTCAATAAATGCTGGACAAACATTTAGTCCTGCGCATGGAATGCAAATATTTCGTCCAAATATTTTCCACAGATGCTGGGTACAGCATCCTCCTCTACTAAAAAATACTTGTTTGAGTTACAAAACATACACTTTCGTTTATGAATCCAGCTGTTATGGATTGAAATATGATGTTTTGATCCAACCAAATGAAGCTTTTTATTTTGATCAAAATTAAAATGAATCTTACAAACTCCTAAACTATTTAAAGCATTTTCTGTTCCCGCCTTAAGTGCCACATCTAGAGCTTTAGAATCTAACTCCCAAATTCCCATGAGTTGTTTAATTGGCCTATATACAGTGTTTAAACAACGCTGGAAACGTTCTTCACAATAATCAATTATAACACATTGAGTATT